TGGAAAAGAGAAAAGCTGAGAGGAGAGGGAGAGAAAGATACAGGAGGTGAGAGAGAAAAAGAGAGTGGAAGACAAAGTGGAAAAAGGAATGAGAAACGGGTAAAAGGTAGGAGAGAAAGACGGGGAGAAAGAGGAGGTGGGATGGGGACATAACACGGGGAGGAAGCAAAGTAAAAGTTTGATTCCGTTCGAAACATCCTGACCAAGCTTGACTGCTTCAGGGCCAGGTGAAGAAGGCGCGAAGGGACCGGCAAAGGGGCGAGAGAGAGGCCGGGGCCGAGAGGGAAGGCTTCAATGCGCAAATCGCAGGCCTTGAGGAACGCATGCGTCTCTCCAGGTGAGTTGTCAGCCGTGTGATCAGATACAGACTTGCAGCGATACTTTTGTTACATGCTATATCAATAGCATATGTGCATATATTAAGTTGGTACCACATAGACGTATATGTAGTGCATCCACCTGTATGTATATGTATCTTTTCATCAGAGTGAATAAACACAAGGGAATAAATCTGAGAGAGAGAGAGAGAGAAGGGTATAGAGTGAGGGTGGAGGGAAGAGAAATGTGATAAACAGATAAAGAGAGGCAGGGAGGGAGAGAAGAGAGAGAGAGAAAGGGAGAAAGAGAGATAGAAAGAGAAATAGAGAGAAAGAAAAAGGTGAGCGGAAGAGATAAAGACATAAAAGATGTGCATATACAGATGAATAGAAAAATAGAGACAGAGAGGGATAGATAAAAGAAAAAGGAGGTAGGGTGAGAAAACCAAAGAGAGAGGAGTAGATAAATATATAGGCACACACAGAGGCGGATAAATAAACCAGTAGATGAACAGATAGATAAATAGATAGATAATGAAAGAAAAGGAGGTTGGAGGAGGGGAACAGAGGAGAAAGGAGACAACAATAACCTTGCCTTCCCCCGCAGTCTCATCTGGAAGAAGAATCGCGCAAGAATCTAGCGCTGACGACGCAGATCGCAGAGAAGGAGAGCGAGCTCACGCAAGCCGAGGTAAGGGATTCATGTCGAACAGATTGCAACAGGAACAGCGAAGGGAAGAACAAGGAAACACGGATATGGCGAAGACCTTTTCGCTTTACTGCTTCGTCAGGGCATGAGTGTGTGCCCTGATGAAGCAGTGAAGCGAAAAGGTCTTCGGCATATCCGTGTTTTTTCTCGCTCTTCCCCTCGTTGTTCCTGTTGCAAGCCGAGGTAAGTCCTCCCTTTGGAAGCCAAGGAACCGCTGGAGTGCGCGCACAGAGAAAGCCAATCGTCAACACAAGCAGGTGTTCCATGCCGCAGTACTCATAGAGTGTTCGTTTCCAGGCAGATCACGAGAAAAGGGTGAAGAACCTCAAAAAAAGGGAGAAGAGAAAGAGAAAGAGCCGAGGACAGAGGCGAGCTTGAGAGCGAACTCAAGAGACGAGACAAGAAGATCGAGGACCTCAAGGTAGGGGCGAGTTTATTATATATATGTATATATATACACAAAAATAACAATGATAATAATGATGAAAAATAATAATGATGATAAAAATAATAATAATGATAAAAAATAATAATGATAAAAATAATAGTAATGATAAAAAAATAAGGACAAGGAAATTAACCTTTTCTTCAGAAGAAACTAAGAGACCAAGAAGAAGAAAAAGAAGTCGACCCGCAGTCCGAGGAGGAAGACAGCCTGCTGAAGCGAATGATGGTGAGTGCCCCGCGTCCAGACGCTTCCCTCTCCGTCGGGTGAAATAAAGGCTATTTCTATGCAACTGCAGTCTGCAGGGAGGGAGGGAGGCAAGGGTTCAGATCTTATCAAACAATGATAAACAACAAGAGAAGAAAATACATGTAATTTTCTCATTTCTTCACTTCAGAGGCAGGTGCGCGAGCAGGAAGAGAAAATGAAAGACGTTCTTTCTGCGATGGAATATTTTCGTCTGCAAGAAATGGAGGCAAGTGTGTCAGCGATTCAATTAGTTTCTATTAAAATGTTTCTGTGAATACATACATACATATTTCTATATACATGTATATGCATATGTATACATATATATAGTATGTATATCTGTGTGTGTGTGCGCGTGTGTGTGTGTATTTATGTATGGGTATATATTTGAATATATATATTCATGTATATACATATATATGTATATGTGTATGTGTGTGAGCTGAGAATTCGGAGCGCGACTGAGTGTGAAGATCCTTCCGAGGTGTTTCTAACTCGCGCCTCTTCTCCTGCCGGACCTGCAGCCGCCTCGAGACCCGAGGCGCCGGGCGCTGGCGAGCCCTCGGCCGTGGGCGGGAGGAGGAGGGTTCGGGGAGCAGCTGGCAGCGGCGACACTCCGCCAGCAGCTGCCAGGGACGGGGCGAAAGCAGCGGCAGGCGGGGGAGACAAGCCTCGGCAAGCAACTGGCAGAAAGGGCAAGGCCAGGAAGGCACCGGAGGACGACGAGCCTTTGTCAGCAGCGGGCAGGGATGAGCGTCCGGAGGCAGCAGGCACGAGGGGAAAGGTGCGGCAAAGGGCAGACAGGAAGGCCGAGGGCGAGGTGGCAGCCGAGGGCGAGGTGGCAGCCGAGGGCGAGGTGGCAGCCGAGGGCGAGGTGGCAGCCGAGGGCGAGGTGGCAGCCGAGGGCGAGGTGGCAGCCGAGGGCGAGGTGGCATCCGAGGAGTCACCTCAAGAAGACAGCGACGCGTCAACACTAGAAGATGAGAGTGACGAATCAGTGTGATGTTATCCATCCTGGTTGAGATAGCATGATATGAAATACATAGAATATGCCTATCTTTTCTCTCCCATCTCCAAGCTTTTATGATTAATGCTGATGATAACAAAAGCAGAAATAATAACAGCAATAAAATTTATGATAGTGGTAATAACGACAACAAAAATCATATCAATGGTATTGGAAATTATAGTACTAAGGACAATGAACATGATAATGATAAATTAATACTAATAAGGAAAATAATGATGATGACATCGAAAATTATAATGAAAATGATAATAAATAGTTGTATTAATGACATTGACTATTATTACCATTACTAACATTAACAAATACAATGATAATCATAGTAAAATACCCAACTCACAAAATCTGAACTCATTGAAAAGTGACATTTTCGAAATCAGTATCGATTTCATCCTCTCATTTGGGTAAACGAGAACAGGTCAAGGGTCAGGCGGTCTGTGCCAAGGGTGGCCGGCTTACGGGAGCAGTCTGAGGATGCGGGAAGCGAGAAGACGCGGCAGATGGTAATACACACACACATGCAATTACACACACACACACACACACACACACACACACACATAATATATATATATATATATATATATATATAATATATATATATATATATTATATATATATATATATATATATATATATATATATATATATTATATATATTATATATATATATATTGTATATGTATTATAACACACAACACACACACACACACACACATACATATATATATGCATATGTATATACATATATACATATCTCTCTTTATATAAATAGTGTATGAGGGAGAAGAGAAAAAACAAGTTAAAGGAAGTCAAGACAAATGCGGGAATAACTTAAGTAAGACATTCAAAAGTAATTAAAGTTTACTATAAAAGTAGGGTAGTCATCCATCTCTCCTTGAATATATATCTAAGTCTACTGATGACATTATGCTGAATTATTTTAAGTATATATCGTATGAAAATAACCAATGGAATAAATAGTTGTAGTAACAGTGTGCTTATAATATTGATATATTCCTTCTTAAAACCTTTTCTTATACAGTCATGGTTAAATTTTTCCCCTTGACATTTGTGATTCAGGCCGATAGTTGATATATTATGCAGTTAGTTACCTTTGTAGTGAATTTCCCTTGGCTGCAGGCGGGTGGGTCATCGCGCAGGCTTTCGGGCCGCCTGTTCCCCTGACGTTACGGATCGTTCCTTGGATAACCTACGGACTCCTCCGCCCTGCAAGATGACGAGGCTTTGCTGTTTCCTGTGTGTCTGCGCCTTTTTAATAAGAATAAACCTGTTATTATATTCCTTTGGGTTACCTTTCCCACTGGTCCGTGATCTATCTCTACATCTACACACTCCTACTATACATGACACTACTTGTACTCTACTTACCTTATATTCCATACTTACCTTATTCTTGCCTTTTCGTCTTCGACTAATTCACCTTAGCTTCGTTTCCCTCCCGTTTCCCCTTCGTGATTCTCCGTTTTCTCTCACGGATCCCTTCTTTCACTTTTCGTACTTTCCTATTTTTGGTCTATTTTATCGTTCTTTTTATTGATGTATTTCTGAACTTTTTCAAGCTCACCATACACTCTTTAACGAATAAATTAACTGCATTATGGGCAAAATCTCAGTAAGCGCGGGAGCCACCTGTATATAAGGTCAAGTCAGATCGGGCTTGAGGGAAAGGCTTTTGTTGGATTTTAGCTGGCTGACTGGTGCTTCTCGAGCTGTGGCGGGTTGCCTCTGTTTTTATAAGTGTATGGTGTGTTGTCCTTGTATATTGGTTACGTTTTTGAAAGTTTTGTGCGAAATAAATGTATAATATGGATGCTCCTTTTTATGTTGCCTTTTTGTCAGCCAGTGATCTTATTTTATTGTTTTATCGTGACTACGGAATCACTCTCTGGCTCACCTGAGAGTCATTACTAATTAACGCCAGACTTACATGGATCTTACCTGTAGTTGGAATACACGCTACTAAATTAACATCTATAACTCTACGGAGTATATGATTATCCACTACAACCTTAAATATTGGCTTCTGTATCGATCCTTTTCTGTGGCTGGGCAAGACAGTTATGTTCATCCTCTTTGCTTCGCACTGACAACGGGTAACGTGTCTGGACGAACCTGTCATGGGTCCTAACACCCCGGTCGAGCTGTGGCGTTTCTGATTTGGTTAGCATCAGGGCTTTCTTTTGTTACTCAAGACCCTGCGGTTTTATGTATTCACGTAGTTTGTGTGTGTGTGTTTAGAGATAGTATGTATGCATATATGTATATATATATGTATGTATTATATATAATACATAATATATATGTGTGTGTGTGTGTGTGTGTGTGTGTGTGTGTGTGTGTGTGTGTGTGTGTGTGTGTGTGTGTACGTATGTATGTATGTATATATATATATATATATATATATATATAATATATTATATATATATGTATATATTATTATAATATGTATGTATGTTTTATATATATATATATATATATATATATATACATGCAGTTTTTTGTATACTTGAATATATTTAAAGATATATACTGTTTCTATATACATATGTGTCTCATATATATCGCTGTATAATCGCAGTCAACCGATAAATGCATAAATTTAGTCGTACGACCTAAGAAACCGACATGACTGAACAAAAATAAAGATGGTTCATGTCTTTGTTACATATATTGTACGTGCGAACTGTGTGTACTTGTTTCTATCATCTATTAGACTATTAGATATCAAAGTATGAATTAACACGAAACAATAAAAGCTTCAGTGTTAACATTAGATCAAAGCCACTTCAGTGCCACCTGGTAACGAATTGGCGTGTCAGAGAAATGGTGCATGACAGTCTAGGATGTCAGTGACAGTCTAGGATGTCAGTGACAGTCTAGGATGTCAGTGACAGTCTAGGATGTCAGTGACAGTCTAGGATGTCAGTGACAGTCTAGGATGTCAGTGACAGTCTAGGATGTCAGTGACAGTCTAGGATGTCAGTGACAGTCTAGGATGTCAGTGACAGTCTAGGATGTCAGTGACAGTCTAGGATGTCAGTGACAGTCTAGGATGTCAGTGACAGTCTAGGATGTCAGTGACAGTCTAGGATGTCAGTGACAGTCTAGGATGTCAGTGACAGTCTAGGATGTCAGTGACAGTCTAGGATGTCAGTGACAGTCTAGGATGTCAGTGACAGTCTAGGATGTCAGTGACAGTCTAGGATGTCAGTGACAGTCTAGGATGTCAGTGTTACGCAAGGTGTACTTCGGAAAATTACTTGTACGATATATTAACTCTTAGTTTAAAACAACATTAATTTACAACAACAACAACAATACGTATTAACTTATATTGCCATTGAATTTTTTATGCAATAGTATACTGATGACATTGTACTTCTAGATCTCAAGACAAGAACAGATTCCAACAATTTCGCAATCATTCCGGCAATGCTACGCATAATACTTTATATCTGGACAGTGAATATGAAAACAAAGTAAAGTAACATTTCCCCCAATATGATTGTAGCAGATAACGATACAGGAAGCAGCTTGTTGACTAGAGTTTAAACAACTAACATTTCCGTCTATATCACATTTCCATAAGAGTTGATTTCATGGTAATTGATTTCCTTAATTTTACTGATATGTTTCTCAGAACAAGCATCACATATCCCAAGTTTTTTTGTTTCATGAATTCCAGAAATGGTCAAGTCAGATACTAACAACTTTGATCGACACAAACATCAGGAAACGCGATTTCATGGAACAATCTTCAAGGTTAGGATTTTTTTTTCTTTATAATTTAATGAGTTGCATTTATAGCAATTAGCAATGCGGTCATATGAATCTATTTATCTTATCTCTCTCTGTCTCTCTTTCTCTCTCTCTCTCTCTCTCTCTCTCTCTCTCTCTCTATATATATATATATATATATATTATAATAATATATATATATATATATATATATATATCTGTCTGTCTATCTACCTATCTATATCTGTGTAGCTATCTATCTTTAGGACAAATTTATATCATAAATTTAAGTAAAAAATTCCTTGACCTTCACGCGCTGGTGAAGAATCTGCAAGTCATCGTGAGGAGCCCAATTTAATCAAACTTGTCTTTATCATTATTATTATTATTATCATCATCATTATTATCATTCCTATAATTGTTATTATCATCATTATTATCATTACCATTCTTATAATAGTTATCATTATAATTACTTTTCTTTTTATCATCATCATCATAATGATTATTGTCATTGATATGATTATCATTTATTTTCATTACCGTGAATATTACATGTATCGAACCTAGGCCTACAATCTAGGTCCAGCTTAGATTTCCTCAAGAATTATTTACGATATAACATTCACAAAAACTTATGCACTGGCATGTTGAAAATGCATCTCTTAATGTCGTCATCATCATCACCGTCATCATCATCATCATTATTATCATTTCTTTATACCATCATTATTTCTTTTTATTATTATGAACATTATCATTCTTATTTTTTTTCTTCATCATTATGAACATTACTGTTGTTGTTCCTGATAATTAGCATTATTACTGTCATTATCATTACTATTATCCTAATCATTAATATCATTATCATAACTGTTATCATTATCATTATAATTATTACCATATGATGATGTATCATTATTATAATTATGAATATTACCATTTTTGATGTCATTTTCATCTTCATCATCGTTATTATTATCATCACCATCATCATTATTATTGAAATAATAATAATAATGATAATTGCTCAGCATTCACCGCCGCCTGGCCGTGACCTCTGAAGGGAAAGGTCACTACTCCTACACTCACCTTTATTAGCGCCCGTTATTTTCTCTCTCTCGTCTTTATTCCTTTTCTCTCTCTCTTCGTCTCTTCATCTCTCTCCTCCCTCTCTCTCTTGCTCTCGCGCGTGCGTGTGCGTGTGCGTGTGCGTGTGCGTGTGTGCGTGTGCGTGCGTGTGTGTGTTCATACATTTGTATATATGTATGTATACATTTTTATATATATACATATCGTATGTATACATATGTGTATGTAAACACACGCACACACACATATATATATTATACATGTATGTTTATATAGGTAGTTTGACAGACGGAGATACGAGTGGCGCTCATTAAGACTGTATAGGTCACGTGTTCTAGTCATTAACTCATGACTCATTTTCTGTTACAGCGGTGAAGGTGCAGTAAGGTGTGCGGTGGAACCACTGGATTATCAG